ATGCTGCTTGGCCTGCTGTGTTCATCCAGCCCTGCACCTTGTTGTCAATTTCTGCAACTGGTTCGTGACTGATGGATCAAGTTTATCTGTGACGTGGAGTCTTTGTACTGCTAAACTCTGCCAATCTTCTCCCTCGCTCGGTAAGGTTTGTTGCTGTGATGAGAGCTGCCCACAACTGATGATAAATGTCACAAAAAAAGTAAACTGCAGAGATCAGACAGAAGTCTGTAATTAGTAACATGTTTGCTTGTGACGAACTGGAAAACGCACATTTCTTCGTCCTGCTGTCATTCTTAGTGCTATAATTGACAGATTAGATGCACTAAGGATATTCCCGATGGTGGGGGAGCCCAGAACTAGGGGTTATAGTTTAACAATAAGTGGTAAATCTTTTAGGATGAGATGAGGAGAAATGTCTTCACCCAGACATTGGGTAAGATTGTGGAATTCACTCCCACAGGAAGTGGTTGAGATCGAAAAATAGAGATAATACAGTGTGGAGCTGGATGAACACAGCAAGCCAAGCAGAATCAGTGGAGCAGGAAAGCTAGAGTTTCGGGTCGGGACCCTTCGTCAGAAAAAATATTTTCAATTGAATATTGAATGCCTACTGTCGCTCCTATGTTCTCAGTTTCCATGTATGACCACTGTGTATGGGTAACTTTCTGAAGGTTGGGTAGCGGCTGAAACGTCCTCAGTTTTAACTTGTTATCGACATTCATTCACGGAATGAGGGAGTCGCTGGTTAGGACAGCAGTTTTTGCCCATCCCTAATTGCCCAGAGAGCAGTTATGAGTCAACCGCAGTGCTGCCGGTCTGGAGTCACATGTAGGACAATTTCAGATAAGCATGGCAGTTTCCTTTCCTAAAGGACATTAGTGAACCAGATGGGTTTCTCGATTCATGGTCATCATTAGACTCTTAATTGCAGATATTTTATTGAATTCAAATTCCACCAGTTGCCATAGTGGTATTCGAACCCGGGTCCCCAGAATGTTGTCTGGATATCTTGATTAACAGTCCAGCAATAATATCACGAGACCATTGCCTCTCTTATAGCAGAGAATCATACAGTACAGAAGGGACCATTCGGCCCATTGATATACTAAATCTACTCTCGCCTAACCTTACATGGGAGGCCCATAGTCTTCAATCTTATGACATTTAAGTGCACATCCAAGTACTTTTTAAAGTACTATTTATCGGTTTCATGGAGCTGCCTGTTTGCACAATTTTGATTTGAGAAAAAAAATTAAAATACAAAGAGCAATACAGCACAGGAACAGTCCCTTTAGCCCTCCACGTCCACGCCAATACATTTTGCCCTTCCATACTAAAACTGTCTTCACTTACACGATCCATGTCCCCCTATTCCTTTCCTATTCATGTATTCATCCAGGTGCTTCTTGAGTACTGCTATTGTGTCTGCTTCTAACACCTCCTCCAGCAGCGCGTACCAGGCACTCACAACCCTTTGTGTGAAAAATTTGCCTCACACGTTTCTTTTAAACAGCTCCCCACCCCCAGCCCGCCTCACACCTTGAACCTGTGTCCACTAGCAATTGACCCCTCCACCCTGGGAAAAAGCCTCACACTTTCCATTCTATTCTTGCCATTCACAAGCTTATATACTTCTATCAGGTCGCCCCTCAACCTCCCGTGTTCCAGTGAAAAACAAACACAGCCTATTCAACCTTTCATCATAGCTAAAATCCGCTCCACAAGGCAACATCCTGGCAACCTTTTCTGTAGCCTCTCCAAAGCATCCACATCCTTCTGTTAGGGTTACTTCAAAAACAGAGAATTAGTGAGGAAATGCTGCATCGTTTGAAAGAAATTAACCTGACCGTGAATGTGACACAATGATTGAAGTGTGACCTCAGATAAATTGAATTTTTTACAGTTAGAGCTTTGGTTTTGAACAAGTAGCTGATTGGCTTGTAAACTCATAACCAATTATCAGTAGCAAGGGCCTTTTGGCCTGCTAACAGCGATGCAATTTATTCTCCAGAAAATCATCTTGGGGCTGTGAACAAGATACAGAGAAGCCTTCATCCCTTCACCTGCTCAGGAGCTCTGTATGTTCTTTGCTGTAAAAGTTAATTTCAGCCTGAAAAAATTAATTTATTTTTCCTTCAGCTGTTCCAGTGAGCTGTCACTTTTGGTGAGCATGTTAGAGACTGTTTATAAGTATGAACTAGACTTAGGGCTCTTGTAAGTCAATGGAAGCCTCCAGGGAAGGAACACTGTGAAGCAGCATTCTGACCAGAACAAGAACCAATGCAATCAGTTCTGAGGAAGGGTCACCGTTAACTCTGATTTTTCTTCACAAATACTGCCAGGCCTGCTGAGCTTTTCCAGAAACTTCTGTTTTTGAACCAATACAATCCTCTCATCTTTTATGTGAAGAAAAGACACTGAACTTCTTTCTCAGTCTCTCCCAACGTACATTTTTTTTTGTCTCGTGTGTGTGTGTGTGTGTGTGTGTGTGTGTGCGCGCGCGTGTGTGTGTGCGTGTGTGTGCGTGTGTGTGAGAGAGAGAGAGAGGTGAAGATGGGTGGAATTGGAATTTAAATTATTTCGGTTATAGGCTGATGTCTTGTAATAGATTTGCTGTAGCTGGAGTTTACTTATTTGCTATAAATTATAATTTCTATACAGTGGAGAAGCCTGATCCAAGACTATTGTTAACCTTTGTCTAAAAGGCAGGTAAATCCAGGAATTCTATGTGTATTTTACATCATTAACTATAATGACAGTTCCGAGAATAGTGGGGCTTGATTTCCAGTGCACGACCCGAGAAAGCTGTGATATCACTAACTTTCCTTTGAAGAGGTGAGACAGAGGCATTCTGAAGGGATTGCAATGGTAGTTTCCTTTCAATATTCTTGTATTAAATAAGCTGTTTTAAAATGTGGTTTCAAATACATGCGTAGAAATTTAAGTCAGATAGTCATGTCATAGTTATTCATATTGTATTGTGCAGTATTCGCTCATATTGTAGAATCAATTCTTACAATAAACTGTCAGAAGGAATTACTAAAAAAAATGTTTTAGTGTCCTGCCTATATCCTTCAGCCCACATTTGGATCACACTAGCTGGGATTCTGAAGTTCGGATTCTCAGAATTTATTGTAGTCATTTTAAATACTAATTTATTTCTGCTATAATACAGCTGCAGGTAGAGTCTACCCTTAGAAAATGTTCCTGTTTTGAAAATATCGGATCAGCCTTGGACTCTTCCTTAATTATCCAGTTTATTGTGATGAATCTGACTAAATCCCTTCAAGTGGACTATTCCTGTTTCATATTTCAGAGGTTCACAAGATAATTCCAGAAACGAAGGAATTGTGTAGTTCCTCCTTAAAACATATCAGAAAACTCCAACCAGAATGTTAAGAATGACTTTGCCCAGACGTCACTCAATTTTGTGGTGTTCAAATCGCTCCGAGCACAAGCCAATACCAACATGAACAGTCTCAACTTTATTAGGAGACAAGTTACAATGACCTTTAATATGAAACATACTTCCTCTAATCTTATTTGGTACCTTGAGATTGCAAGACTTTGTGAGTCTCGTGTATATTTACACAGTCGCTCTCTCTAGCTACGTCAATGGGTCTGTGAAGCTACTTTCTCTCTGTCGCTGGTTTATGGGATTGGGCAGAAGAGACCGATGTTTGGGCTTTAAAGCTATGATGCTGGTCAGCTGGTCTCTGCCTCTTGCCATGTTGGTCTCATCGGATGGCCTCCAGAAGAATTGAGAGATCAGTCTGCAGATGAATCCCTTTTTTTATACTTTTGTGGATATTTTTAAATAGGTCTGGCCAATCAGGTAGAATCGTTTAATAGTTTGAAAAATTATCAATCATTTTGATGGCTTGCTATTGTTTGTTTCTTTGTGCAGTAGGACTTAATGCCTTTCATAGAATCCCTGTGGAAACAGGCCCTTTGGATCAACAAGTCGACACCGGCACTCGGAGTATCTCGCCCAGGCCCATTCCCCTATAACCCACCTAATCTACACATCCCTGAACACGACGGGCAATTTAGCATGACCAAACCACCAAACCTGCACATCTTTGAACTGTGGGAGCAAACCGGAGCACC